AAATACTGCCTTATATGTTCCAAACAGGAAAGAGAAAGTTTGGTTCTGGAAACTTGACATTGATGGACTGTTAAGATTCTAGGAGGGATCATTTATACATACTTAAAAAGTAGTGGTCACTATGTGCCAGCATGGTCAATGAAAAGGAGTCAAACCAAACTAAGTAACTGTATCTAAAGAAAGATGTGAGCTTATGTTAGGAGCAGGAGACTGTGCTATACCTACTACATCTTGATTTAGCAGGCTATTTCAGTAAAGTCTTCAGATCCCTATGGACAGATAAAGAAATGTCATGTAAATGATAGTGGAGTTAGGTGAAATTGATGAATGGAATGATAGCAACCTCTTATGGATTACACATAGCTGTAAAGTATTATATTTGACCTCATATTCATTCACGTAAACAGTAGATACAGAGATAGCAATCATACTAATCCAATTTTCAACACATAGAAAACTGGGAGGGATGGTTATACACACAAATTGACAGAATTATCAAAGAGAGAAGGACTATGCTAGACAAGTACCTAAACCAATAATAAATATAAATATGGTATTCTGAATTCAACTGAAAAAATACAAAGTGAGAAACACTGGGCTTAACAATACTTTGGGGAGACAAGTCCCAGGGACTTGTGGAGCTAGCAATATGATATAGTTGCAAAAAAAATTACAGTGCCAATGTAATTTTAAATTATATATTCAAAGGAATATATAGCCAGACTAATGGTTGTAATACTGTCCTATTATATTGGCAATGTTATGAATTATTATGACAATCTTTTCTAGAAAATACATTGACAAAATGGAGCACATCCAGATGACCAGGAAGTTTAATTTATAAATCTCCTTGATGCTCAGATTCTTTATTTTGCTATGTGTAATGAACTGTAAGGAATAAAATCTACCATAGCATATTCTCAAGGAACTTACTTTGAATCCTTCCAGTCAAAGTGCATAGGAACTGAATACTTGGATAAGATCCACTCCCCTCAGTCTGTTGAGGTTTAGTAAATGGGTTTAACAGCGATAATTCTCCTTTCATTGAAAATACATATTGGTTTCTGAATGCCAAGTTAAATTTTATATTCTATATCACTAATTCATTATCCCTTGGGTGTCAGCACTGCTTTGTAAGTTATATTATTCCACTTCCTTTTATCATGGGAATGGGTAAAAGTGCTTTTAGATGGAGACAGGAAAGGTTTTCAATTTATTTAAAAATAAAAATGGGTAGTTTAAAAAAAAATCAGTATTTCCCAGGTTGAGAAATTTTTCCCTATGCCTAAAGAATATTCCTAGTTATGGAATGCACAATTAAAGGAAAAGACTCCCAAATGACTCTTTATTGAGACTCTCAGGAAATGGTCTAGAAGTAAGATACAACCTTTAAAATGGGCAAGATGAGTAACTTCCACACACAAATATGCAAGCATGTACACACACACACACACGTTACTGTAGATTAATGATAGCACATATGGAGTGCAGGAACTTGCAGCCTAAATTTGTTGCTTTTCATAGTCTGCTGAATTAGTATTATTTGTAGATAAAGCCTAGCTGCAACAAGGCTTTAAATCAATCTACAGATGTTAGAAAATATAGCTGGCACAGAGAGAAAACAAGTAAATTATTTGGGCATTTCATTTTTGGTTTTGAAATCTACTTTTTGAGTTACAGAAAAGTCACTATGAAAATTCTTTATTCTCATCTTTTTTTCTGATACCAAGCACCTGGCCCACACAGCTACCATGAAAGCATTCTGTAAAATTACTTTAAGAATACCTGTACAGCTTTAATCATTGCTAGCCTGTGACCTGAATGTGGATGTTTGCAACCAGAGCAGTTCTGCGATGCAGCTAGGGCACTGCTGTCCTTGATGCTAGAGGATATTGAAGCTCTCTTGGAAAATGAGGCGCTAGAGGGCAGAAGTTAGTCAAAAGTCTGTACCAAAACCCATTTGTCTAAATGTGGCATTCTATTTTCAGTTGGTCTTCCTTCTTTTTAGAACTCATTACAAATTCTATGCCAGTAAAGTGAGAGAAAAGATGAAAAATAGGGGATTTTACCTCAATACCATGGATGCTTCTTTCCATACTAAGTCTTAACATCAAGGTTTTGTATATGATAAGCTCTACTGTGTGCTCTAGCCAATGGCCCCATGTCACAATAGAAAATCAGAAAAATGCAGCCTAAGGCTCCGCGTATGGGTCACAGGTTGTTGAGAGGGAGGGAGTTATCATCCCTACGCATCTAAAATCAGACAGACCTTGCTCTGCGCAGGTTAGTTCATCTGAATTCCTCCACTGCTATATTTTTTACTTGTTATTCTGAAAGAGCATTTGGCCCCTCTCAGCTTTGGGAAGCCCTCTCTGTTTAGCTGCTTGTTGAGGGATGACCTAGTGCACCATTCCTTCCCCATTCCTGGGGTATCTCCTGCCCGAAAAAGGGCTGGGAAGAGGTGGAGGGAAGAATGCTCTCGTCACGTAACAATAAGCTCTGCAGGTGCCTTGCGTGGAATTGGTATTCAGTGTCAGCATCAATGCTTAGATCCTAGATCAATTTTTAGTCATTCATATATAGGTATAGCTAGTATATTTTTTTCTTCGTCTCTTATTCATGTTTAACAAGAATTCTTATAAACTCAATATAGCCAAGGTTTGTTTCCTGGCTTCATGACTTACTAGCTGTATGAAATTAGGCAAGTCATTTATCTCTGAGCCTCAGTTTCCTTATCTGTAAAACAGGGAGATTAATAGCACTAACCTCATAGTGGTGTTGGCAGGTAAAATAAGTTAAAAAAAGTAAAGCAAATAGGAAATGGAGAAGCCAAAGAACTTGTATGTATGACCCATGGACATGAACTAAGGTGAGGGGCGTTCTGGAGGAGAAGGCAGGGCAGAGAGGGATCCAAGGGAGAAAAAAATGGGACACTGTAATTGCATGAACAATAAAATACACTTAAAAAGAAAAGTAAAGCAAATAGAATAATGCCTGGCACGTAAGTATTTGCTGTTATTTGCTATTATACAGCAAATGCCCTTTCTTGTAATGTCTCCTCTTTAACTTATGTTTATTTTTCAGTTTAATGGAAGATACAGATCTTCCATTTATTTTTAAAGTTCTCATAATTTCTGAATCGTATGCACAGTTAAGTCTTGTGCTCTTATCTTTTCCTCCTGACTCCGGCCGCACTTCTTTGGTCTCAAAACTTTTTGCATCACCCTTTTGGGCTCCCCGCTCCAACACTGGCTGCAGGAGGCCTTCCTGACCACGTGTCTGGAGGCCAAGTGTACCCTGGTTTTCCCACCAACACATTCAGGGAGAGCAAAATATTTGTCCCATGTCGCAGGACTCCTGTAGGACTCTTGGCTTTGTAAGGGCAGTGTGTTCCTTGATGTTGCGGCTCCAGTGTCCTGCTCAGAGCATGGGCAGAGTAGGTACTTACTACTTGCTCATTCAGTGAGAAAGTGCAGATGGAGTACCAGATTCAGTCTGTGCTTCTAGAAAAACAGCTTCTAAGAACACAATTGAGAACAGTTTTGAAAGGAAAATAATGACCTGGAGAAAAGGCTGTCTCCTTCTGTTTTGGGCCAGGTCCTATTTTAGATAACAGTTACTGTTCTAAATGCTAGTATAGGTTGTCAGGCTGATATTGTGAATTATTGCTTTTATGGTTTTAAATTTAATCCTTAGAACAAGCTTATTTACTAATTCATGGAAAGTTTTTTTTTTGGGGGGGGGGGTGGCGGTGGGGAAAGAAAGCTCTCCCTTCCACTTATCAAGGAAAATGAAATAGGCTCAAGTGCTAGTTCTGAAAATTAACTCCTGAAAAAGACCGTGGGTTTCAGATTGTTCTCATTAGTCTGCCTTGTTCTTACTATCTTGTTCCCCCCGCAGCCATAACCAAACAAAAAATACATAATACGTGGGTATACATACATATAAGATATACACACAGAGACACACAAAGAGATATCTATGTACATATATGCATATATGCTTCACATGTCTATGAAACTCACTGAGCCTTCCCTGGCTCCTTGAGTCTTTAGTCAGGCCCCGTTCTGAGTTTCCTTCCAAGCAGAAAAAACCTCCTGGCAACTTCAAGCATGTTACAGTCTCAGATAGTTCTGTGTTGAATAGCTAAAGATCCTTTTTTAGCCAGTCTAGTTACTCTGCAAACAATATAAGATCTTTATGTATTCAAGTTAATTTTTGAGTGCCTGCTACATGCCACAGTTCAGCCTTAAAATTTTTGTCTTAATATTTTAGGCATATTATTGATAGAATAGGATAGTATTTGAACACTGTTATAAAGTGATTTATTCACAGCAAGTAAAATAAATGCTTTGTATCAGAAGTCTGAGTTTTAAAAAGGAAAATATACTGAACTCTAAATCATGAAAAACAAACAAACAAACAAACCTGATTATCTTTAAGTAATATCTTAAGCATCCCGCCTGAGAAGTATGAATTCACGAACTAGTTCTCTAGTCATATAAAAAGTCCCAGATGGTTAGGAAGTAGCTTTGTCTATGAATAACTTCATCTCATTGCAGCTTCTCTCTTCTCTCTTGTCTTTCTGTTAAAATATAAAAGGTTGTATTTCATTCACTTACCTTAGTTAAGTCAATAATATTTATTGCAATCAGAAAACATTATCACAGCCCTGGCTGGTGTGGCTCAGTAGATTGGGTGCTGGCCTGTGAACTAAAGGGTTTGCTGGTTTGATTCCCAGTCAGGGCATATGCCTGAGTTGAAGGCCAGGTCACCAGTAGGGGGTGCATGAGAGGCAACCACACATTGACGTTTCTCTTCCTCTTTTTCTCCCTCCCTTCCCCTCTCTCTAAAAATAAATAAGTAAAATCTTTAAAACAAAAAAAAAGAAGAAAGAAAGGAAGGAAGAAAGAAAGAAAGAAAGGCATAATCACAATAAGTTCGAAACCAAGCATTACAGATGACCCCTAAGTAAATGTGATGAAAATTTCCTTTTGCAGATGTAAGTATTGGCACTATGATGAAAACCTGCTCACCTCCAGCGTTGTCATTGTCTTCCATAATGAAGGATGGTCGACTCTCATGAGAACAGTCCACAGTGTGATTAAAAGGACTCCAAGGAAATATTTAGCAGAAATTGTGTTAATTGATGATTTCAGCAATAAAGGTAATGGCTATGGAATTAACATTTTGTCCGTGAAATACATTAATTATGAGTAACTACAAAATGTGATTTCAAAATAATTAGTCTTTAAAAATTAATAGTTAGCATCTATTGATAGCATCTGTTGTCAGCAAGTTGGTACTATACTAAGCAGTTTGTGTGAATTCTTTTGTTTAATCCTGACAATAGTAACCCTTACAATGAATATTGTTATTATCTCCAGTTTACACAAAAGGCTCAGAAATGTTAAGTTACTGACCAACTATCGTAGAGATAGTAATTAACAGCTCAAACCAAATCTACAGACTCAAAAGTGTATATTTAACCACTAATTGACACTGTATCAATTCTTTGGGCCTTGGATTTTGTGAAAATTTAGTCATGGAGGTAATTTATTGAAAGGTTGAAAAAATGTAATTACGTGTATATTGTAATGCCACCTGGAGCTCCATCCATGGTTGTCAAACTGAAATCCATATACCTATTTATTTAATAGCTGGTATTTTGCCTTTTAACGATGATACAGTATTGAATTTGACCAGGAACTATGGACTATTTTTATTTATAATTGAGAGCACCTACTAAAGTTTATTTTGTTCTGTATTTGATTTTGTATATTGAATAAAAGGAAATTGTATTTTTATTTACTTTAAGGAGCTAGCTATTATAGCATTTAGGGAGGCACAGGGTAGTCTTGGTTCAACTTGGTAAGAGAAATTGAGCATTGATTTTCCAGATGAGTGAATTTAAGTTAACATTTTTTTCTTTAAATAGATAGATGATTATAAACTGAATATATTTTCTTAATGACATAAATATAAAAAGATAGGTAATGCTATACCACAGGCCCCAAACCAGCATCCTATTAAAAAATGTGAGGCTGAAACCCAGAGCATTTATCCATCTTTGCTTGTCACAAAACTGAATTGAATCCTTTGAAACTTGACCAAAGACAGGATATTTGCTTTTTGGCAAATAAATTTTGCAGGCAATTTTTGTGCACAAGTAGTAATACCACTGACTATATGTCTGAAGACAGAATGTGGGTAGCATGAAAATACCATTTGAAATGGTTTTACAAAATTTCCCTCCAAAACTTAATTTAAAACTCTTGCAGCCTGGATAAACCCCTGCTGTTAATAATACAAGGAAGTGACCAGGTCTTGATTTTCACACATTTGTTAGCATGGGGAAAAGATAGAAATGTGGTCTCTGTTTTTTTCCCCTCATCTTTGTTCAGCTAATCACTTCTTTCAACTAATCATTTTTAGTTACACTAGAGAATGTATAAGTTCAACTTTTTTAGTCATATCAAATACCTTTAGTTTTGACATCTTACCTTGGTTGCAATTTACTATGACAGGAATGTATTTATTAAAAATGCTATTCCTGCCCCAGCCAGCATGGCTTAGTTGGTTGGGCATTGTCCCCCAAAGCCAAGGGTTGCTGGATCGATTGCTGGTTCGATTGCTGGTTCGATTCCTGGTCAGGGCAGATGCTGGGTTGCGGCCCAGTCCCTGGTTGGGGCGCAACCAATCAATGTTTCTCTCACACATCAATGTTTCTCTCCTTCTCTTTCCCACTTCCTTCCCCTCTCTCTAAAAGTAAATAAAATCTTTAAAAATAAAAAAAATTAAAAATAGATAAAAACACACTTCTTGTCTCAAAATAAATACAGAGTGGGGCAAAAGTATGTTTACAGTTGTTCATGTGGAAAATAACACAACAATTAATAAAGCATAAACTGTTTTATGTAGTTACAACTGTAAACTTGCTTTTGCCCCACCCTATATTTTAAAATGTTTTACAGTGATATTTTTGGTACTAACAACATTTTAGATTGAGAAAAACCTAAGTCTATAAAAATGACTGAAAAATCCCATGTGTATGATTTTTCTGATTTTAAGAAGCCCTATGTTATTAACACAAGTAAAATCTTAGCATATTCTAAAAATAAAAAAAAATACATGAAGATACATCAAAAGGTGTATGCCATCCAAAAATAACTGCTTGGCCCCAGAAAAGGAGAACAGAATTTTGGACTTAATTTTTTTGGTCCATTTTACTTGAGTTTTTTGTTATTAGCTTTTGTTGAGCTTTTGTTGTTGCAAACCTCTAATATTTAGACTCTTGTAATGTATTTTAAAATCAACCATGTACAGGATCTGCTTAGCTTACAGCATTCCTGAGTACAGAAGTACTGAGGTCTTTAATTCATTTTCCCAGTTTCAGAACAACATTAAAGTCTGTCAGCCCCATCCTCAGTAAAAAGTATAGATAGTCTTTGGTAAATCTGACTGGACTGAAAATTTGGTTTGTTCTTTCCCTCAATGGATTCAGAAAATAGAACTTTGAGTTATAGGTTTTCTTTTAAAAACAAAATAGTTTGCTAATACATAATAAATCCTCACACAGGAGCTGGCTGCTTATAATACTTGGGTTTCTGGAAATTAGAGCATCCTCTCAAAACAAGGCTTGGGGCCTTTTAATAGACCACACCCCTGTTCACATGTGCGTCAGCCAGCTGAGGCTGTGGGGTCAGGATAAAATGCAGCCCTACACTCTCCTGTCACAATAAAGGGTTATAGCACTGCCCTTTCGCCCATACTACACGTCCCCTGCTGGCCAGCCCTGCCCTATCCCACATCCCAGCCCTATCCCAGGCTGGGAGAGCAGCAGCCTGATCTCAGACATCACCTGCCTAAGAGGCAGAGAGAGAGAAGAGATATGGTGAAGTGCTGGTGGGAGTTTAACAGTTTCATTCACAAGTATCCACTCCTCGTTGCTCGTTGGCCACAGCGAGTCACATGGCCCAGCCTGACATCAGTGGGTTGGGGAGGATAAACAACCCCCAGGAAAGGCAGTGAATACTTTGAACATTAATATAGTGCAGTCTTCCATAGTGCGAGATCCCAAAGAAGGCGGAAGTTACTTAATTCACCAACTTTCCTATGGGGCCATCTTTACTGAGCATCTAAATTTGAAGAACAGGCCATCAGCTTGTTTCTGGCCATAAAAATTTGTTAACAATTTATTTAGATTGCATATCCAAAACACCTTGTGCAATTCAGAAGGGGCTTAGAAAAACTGGACTGTATTGGGCTGAAAAAAGGAAGGTTAAGAGCTTTTTAGGAAAGTTGAAAGGAAAATTACTTAGATTTTTCTGGGGGGAAAATATAATTTAGCATGAGGATTTTGTGTATAATTGTCATTAAAACTGAATGCCAGAATAGGAAAAGGGAAATTGTTTTCTTCTCAACTTGGAATATCCTTGTGTGTGTGTCTTGGTAATTTATAAGTTTCCTAAAAATGAGTAAAGTATTAAGTGCAGTCTGATTTGTCCATTTAACCACTAACTCGTCACTAAATACAGCTATGTTTTTGCATTTATGGGCCAAAACTTTAAACAATTTAAAATAATTTTGGTGTCCACAAGAAACATCTTTAAGGATCCAGGAGCAGGTTGCAGCTGTGATGAGCCAATTTCATGGGCACATAGGGATATAAACAAAAACTCAGATTGCAACTGGGGAGGCAAGATGGAAACATTGGCAAATGTAGCTTGCTTTAATAACACAAAATTTTCTCTACCAAATCGTAAATATATATGTTATTTATTATATATTTATTATGTAAATATGTGAATACTTATTTGTAAATATGCATACATACATACTCCTGTTGATGCTTAAAATGCAGAAAAAAATGATACCTCTGGCTTACTTTTTGTCAGCTTGATGGGAACTCTATTTATTACACCAAGACTACAGCCTGGACATTGGGTATGCTTTTGAAAGATGGCCTGGGAACAAATGTTTACCTGTGTCCTTTGTGAATTCCAAAAAAGCCATACAGTGTAATTGTGTCTTCAGAAATCCTGGACTGTTGCTTCCACCAAAAGCAAACAAAATATGCCTGAAAGCTTTTAGATATGACGTTAACATATGACTTTTAAAGTTTTTAATTTAAAATTTTTTGTTTTTTATGTCGTTTGACAGAGTCATCACTTATTTAATGTTTAGAGAAATGTTTGATTATTCTCAGGCTAACCAGTTCTCTGTAGGCATATTAAGCTCAAAATTTAACTCCAAAATAACCTTCACCTTACCTCTCTATAGATTGATCTGATCTGTGTAAAATCACTGACTATCTAAGACACCTTACCCTAGCCCTGTTTCTTGAGAAAAATAATAGTTTAATTGGTTTACATACAAAAATATAATTTATAATGCTGATTGAATTTTTTATTCACAGAACACTTAAAAGAAAAACTAGATGACTATATTAAGCTGTGGAATGGCCTAGTGAAGGTATTTCGAAATGAGAGGAGAGAAGGTTTAATTCAAGCACGAAGTATTGGTGCCCAAAAGGCTAAACTTGGACAGGTAAGACACATTTCTTATTATTGATATATACCATGTCATCATTTTGGATTTGGTAACTAAATGATCATATGCATTTTTAAGTACCTTTTTTTCTTCAGATTGAAATGAAAATGCTTGCCTAAATACAGAAAACTTATATGTCACAATTGACTCTAATGCTAACTTACAGCATCTACTTTTAAATTGTATGTGATATATCATGTACCATATATAAGTGTTCTTTCACCCTGCCCTTTTTTTTTTTTTTTAAGGTTTTGATATACCTTGATGCCCACTGTGAGGTGGCAGTTAACTGGTATGCACCACTTGTAGCTCCCATTTCTAAGGACAGGTAACATACCTTGCTTTCTTGCTTTCCTGGTTGAAAAGTAAACCTTGTTCTAGAAGGACAAATAATGCTCTCATTCTTCTGATCCTGGGTCCATTCAATACATCAAGTGTTCTGTTTTAAGTATTATCACTCAGCTGGTTGTTTCCTGGGGTGGAGCTAGACTGATATTTCGAGCTAATTCAGATGCAGGAAGTTGGGCATCTGGGATAAGGCCAGGGTGTCCAACTGGAGAACCATCTTTGGTTTTGAGACTCCCTCTAGCCCCAAAAGCTTCCTCTGAGAGCAATAGTAATTGCTCCTTCTATACCATAGTTAACGGTTCTAAAGATTTGAAGGAGCAAGCTTTGACATTACGACTATTGAGGTTTTTATGCCCTTTTTAATGATCACTTTAGATAGTAAGGACCAATTGTTACTTGTGCCAAGGTTTGGGGTTCCTATAGAAACTTTAAAGTTTAGAAATGGGCAACTATTCCATAGAAATGTGGGGATCCCCATTAAATTTACAGAAATATCTGAAACAAGAGAAGGTAGTATTTATCTTCTAGTTTCAAAAACCTTCCCTGCATTTAGTCCAGAATTTCATCTATTTCAGAATCTAGGCAAATGAGACATAACCTTGTGGTGAATGGCATGTGTCAAAGAAAGACCCTTGGAGGTTTTAATCATCAGAGGATTTACTCTGAAGGCCTATAAGAAACATTTTTTACATGCTGTCTGGTTTAATCCTCACAGCACCCCTGCAAGACAGGTATTATTAGCTCCATTGTACCGAAGAGGATACTGAGGCTTGGAGAAGTTAATTAATTTGCCCCAAATCAGACAGCTAATAAACTGTCAAACTGAGGTCTCTCTGGGACACCTTACACTACACCATTTCTTAATGAAATCTGAGGCTCACCGGAAGTGAGGAAAGAGAATAAACCTTCACCTCTCCAGGTGAAGACTAGCTGTACTCTGGGGCAGTAAGGAAGTAGTTTTCCACAGGATTTCCTGGCAGTCCAACATGTCCCACAGTGATGTCTGCTGTCCCATGGGAATTATTCCAGAGGGAATAACACAGCTTTCTCAAATTCACTTCCACCATGTCGAAATTTTAAGCCCCATACATTTTCCCCTTCTCTTTGGTTTTTAAACAGCTACAAGTACCTCAACATGATTATGAAAAGCTGTAATCTCCATTTTAGGAAATGCATTTTTAAATCCTTTCTGATAAGATGACCACTGAAACGAGCAGGGGACCAAATTATCTTTGCAGAGTTGACTCTGCACCCAATCAGTCATATAGTACCAGCATTTTCCTGAAGTCAAATAAAATGGATTTTTTTTTTTTTGCTCCAAATTCTCAAGCTACACGCAAGTTCTTTAGGTTTTTTAGGGATTTTTTTCGTTCATTTTTTTAAAAAAGCAGGAATACAATACAGTACTCTTTTTTGTAGTGAAAGCTGTTTTTTTTCCCCAATAAAAAAGGATACAAAAAGAGATCAAGAAAAAGTTCAGAAACAGATTTTTATAATAACTGATTCCAAAGAAATGGAAAGTAACAAAGAAGTAGAAGAACTGCTAAAAATGTGGCAGGTATAATCTTTTTATATAGACATTCATGTTCAGGTGCACACACCCACCCTGACACACACACTCTTATTTTATAATGCAGGATTAAGGAGGAAGAGTAATAGGCAGGAAAATCTTGTAAACAATAAAAAAACTGCTAAGAAAATGTTGCCTGTAGGACCCAAGTGAAAATGAAAAAAACACTATTAAGCTAAAAGACATGGCTTTTTGTCCCTGACATTTGTCTGCAAGCCGAGGGATAAGTCTCCTTTGTCCTTGCCTTATGAAATCAGGCTCCTTGACTTTTATAGGACGTCCATTTACTTCTCCTTCCCATTAGGTACTAAAGTCCCCTAGCACAGAAAACAAAAAACAAACAAACAAAAAAACCTAAATCAATGAGAAAAGGGTAATACACCTAGGCATGCTGAATTAGTCAGTTTTGAGTTCTTAAATGCTTTTTCATTTTCTGTAAATGTTTCAGAACTACATGTACTGTGCCTCTAATAGATTACATAGATGGGAATGATTATTCCATTGAACCGCAGCAAGGTGGGGATGAAGATGGTTTTGCCAGAGGGGCCTGGGACTGGAGTTTACTATGGAAACGTATTCCTCTAAGCCACAAGGAAAAGGCCAAAAGAAAACATAAAACTGAACCTTATCGGTAAACATTACTCCTTTATTTTCTTACGTGGAATGTTTATCTAAGTACTTTTTTTTTTCCTTCCCCATGTACTTGTATATATATGTGGGTCCATACATACCCTTCCATTTCATCTTTGCTGCCACCATCAACACAATACAGAACCATTTGCACTGTGCCGATTATAGATGTCATAAATGGCAACACATATGAAATTGTACCCCAAGGGGGTGGTGACGAAGATGGGTATGCTCGAGGAGCATGGGATTGGAGTATGCTCTGGAAACGGGTGCCTCTGACCCCTCAAGAGAAGAGAATGAGAAAGACAAAAACTGAACCATATCGGTAATCACTAAATCACTTACATGTTTTCTTTTCTCCCATTGCTGCTAATCTATTAACTTATTGCTAAGCTAAGACATTTGTTATTAAAACTGTAGACGCTGTTTAGATTCTGAGGACTTCTTTCCTTGCACCTTTTCACCTTTTCAGTTTAAATTTGAATTAGCTTCTCTGTAATTGTTTTCTCCCTAAATGCAGGCTTCACCTTTTTTCGTTTGGGGGAGGGGGATGTTATAAGGCATTAATTCCAAGTACAAGAGAAAAAAGAACAATAATTCTGTAAATTTACAATGCATAAATTACTAGTAATCCAAGTTTAAGATCCACTGCTATGTCTTGGGTGTAATGTTAGCAGTAAAAGCAATAGCAAGAGATTTGGGGTTTTTTTTTTTCTTCCTTTTATTTTATATGCTAACTCTTAAATACTAATTTTATACCAGTTAAATCTGATGAATAAAAATACATGACTTTGGCAGATGTTACACAGACTCCTTTATTGCTCCTTCTCAGAAGAGCACTTAATTAAAAGGAAACTGTATTCCAGAATCAGCTTTTGTCCCTTCTTGTTGCTCTTCAACTAGAACAACATATGCTGTTGTATTCTCTTGGGGTCCTTTACCTGGAACATTTGACTGTATTCCAAAAGAGAGACTCCAAATGAAATGTTTGGTCAAGTGTTAATACAGGCTTCCAAATAAGTCTCATTTTATTTTTCTTATCTCATGGTTCTGCTTTTGGTCTCTCTTTCCCTGTTACACTACTGATAATATTAGAACTCTGTTTTGGGAAAGTGTCTCCAGTGTCATGCAAATGCTGGTGGGATTTGGGCACTTCACGGTGGCAAACATAAGGAAATTATAGAACTTTAAGTTTGATTTGACATTTTCCAAATTTCCCTTTGAAGTTATTTTTCAAAATAGTCCAGGCATTTACTGCTTAATCGATTACCTGACTAACATAATTCTAGCAGAAAAAAAAAATAAGAGCTAATGATTATATTTTTATTTCTGACAATTCCATAGGCTAGTAAAGAAATTTTTTTTTTTTCATTTTAAATTTCAAATTAGAAAAATTTAAGGGAGATTTCCGTTTAAAGGACTCACTGGTTTTTATGTTAAGATGCATTTTCAAATATATACTAAGTGGGAATGTATTTAAAAATCAGAAAGGCAGAGTTATAATAGAGTAATTTTAAATGGCAGTTAAATAAACGTGATATGGAAATACAGTCAAAAATATAATAGTGCTAATGTTTGATGAGTTAGGCAATATACTTTAAGAAGAAAGGGCATAAGAAAATAACTTGGCCACAATGTGATTTTTCTTTAATATTGAAAATATTACTAGATTCTTTATTTATCCAGTCGAGAAATATTTAATGAGCATTTACTCTGTGCCAGGCACTCTTTTCTGGGAATAAGTTTTTAAAAGATTAAATTCCCTCATGGCACTTAAAACATAGTAAGTGAGACAGAAGTTAATCAGAAGACTGCACAAAGAACTGTGGAACAGCAATTGCAGTAAGTGACATGAAGAAAAATAGAGTTTATGGAAAGGAGAGCCTCATCCAACCTGGAGGATCCAGAACGGCCTCCTTGACAGTGTCCTTGAAGCAGAGAGCCGAGGGGTCTACCCTATGAAGAAGGAGGAAGAACATCTCCGGAGAGTGATCAGCATAGATGAAGGCCGTGAGACAGAGTGTGGCAAGTTCAAGGCACGAGAAGAGCAGTGAAAAACTCAGAACGAGGAAGCCAGCTGAGCCTCAGAATGGAGAGAGGCTGGCAGCAGGGGACCCATGTGGGGCCCCCTCTGCGCCCTTATACAATTAGACTTGGATGGGAGCAGAAGAGAATAAAGGCGACAAGTTACAAAGTCACTGTGAGAGTCCAAACGGTGGTAGCAGTGAAGCTGGAAAGAGGTAGACAGATTCAAGATATATCTTAAGGTAGAATTAAGAGGAATTAGTGATAAATTGAATATTAATTAGATATTACTATAGTAGAGGCATCTCCTTAAGAATCATGATGTACTAATAATAAATTGTTCAAGGTGGGGGACACAGGTAGCAGGATATAAATTATCCTCCCATCACTTCTAACAATGGGAGTAGCTTGTCCCTGAAAAGCTACCAAATGTTTTTTCTCTTGTCCCTAAAATTACCAAAGTCAAGATTCCATTCAAGAAGCCATACAGATCACCAGGTAGCAGTCCTACCCCCTGACATAGTAAATAGCTCGGTTTGTTTCTTCTGTGTCGCTTCTGTGCTACCTTTGCAAACTCTGAATGAACTGTGACTGTTCTAAGATGAATTACACCCTTATTTGGCAAGCCCCTGAGCTATAAAATCAAAAAATGACAGACTACTTCCATGGTGAATGGTTTTGCTCATCCCGTAATGACTCATGAATCATTGCGGGAGCAGTTAGCAGACCAGGACTTGTATGGCTCAGTATTTTTAGGAGTGAAAGAGAAAATTCTACTTTTACTAAATCTAAATTTTTAAATCAACAAAGGAACCAAGGCTCCCTCTAACGGTGAAGTGATGCAATGCTCCAATTTATAATGAAGTATATAATTCAACTTCAATTAGAAATTTTGGTAAATTCATTAAGGAAATATGAACAGACTGTTTTGCAAAGGCGTTATAATTTCTTAATGTTTGGCCATCAGTTTTGTCTCTTCTATGCATTATTTAGATTGTAATCCTAAAATGCTTGCTGTCTATTGGTGAAGGGGGTTGTCTTTAATAGCTATTGAAATGTTTCTTTTTTTAGGTCCCCAGCCATGGCTGGTGGATTATTTGCCATTGAACGAGAGTTCTTCTTTGAACTGGGTCTGTATGATCCAGGACTCCAGATTTGGGGTGGTGAAAACTTTGAGATCTCATACAAGGTAACAGTTCATTTAAACAAATGGTATTTTCTAAGTAGTGACTGACTTTGTGACTTTCAAATAAGGGCTGGGTCCTTTGGGGGGAAATAACTGTTTAAAGCATTTCTCTAAAATTATAAAGAATGACTAGCAAAATATATATGCCTTTGGAGGAAAGTAAAGCAAAGCACGCGCTCCAGGCTTACTATATATTTACATGGCTCACCTGAAAATTGAGGCCAACAAGCTTCAGAAATGAAAAATACCTCCTCCTTCCCCTGCCTGAGGCTTTCTGTACATTGGAGCCTTTTGTTATAGAAGCCCTTTGGAGAGTCTGCATGTGTTGGGGCCACATTGGACCATCCACTGACATAGTTACCCTTTATTACTGTAGGACATGAGTCAGGACAGAAGCAGATCCCAGCAATGACCGTGCGTCCTCAAACTGACAGTGGAGCTGCCTTTCTGCAGCACACCTATCACTGAGCCAGTCCTTGAGCACTAATACCCTCCATGCTCCTACACCACCCCACTTCCCAAAAGAAAGAAAAAGAACTGCTCTATGTCACCGTTTGAGTTAAACAAATACGCATTACCTCTTGTCTTAAATGTCCAGTGCATAGTACTATGAGGAAGAAGAATAGTTCGGCCTTTGCTCTCAAGGAACTCACAGTCAATAAGAGATTAGAATTATATTTAAATTCTTAATATGATAAGAAGATAGAATGCCATTTGGTTGGTATAATTAAGAAGCAGTATCCCCTCGAGGTAGAGCTTGAGGCAGAACGAGAAAAATGGGCATGATATTCGTAAGCAGAGATAGAGGAAGGGGGTGGGGAGTCCTCCCCACAAATAGAACCGGGAAGGGTACAAAGGTGAAACATGAAGAATGTATTCAGGAACCAGTGAGGAACTCAGTTTGGGCAGAATCTGACAGCGTGAGTTGAGGCCAAGACATCAAGAAGATAAAGTGGACAGGTACGTTAGCACCATATTGGAGAGAGCCTTTCATGCTGAGCTAAGAGATTTTTACTTAATTTGATAAGCAATGGAAACCCATTGAAGATATTAAGCAAGGGAATAACATGACCCAAAGCTGCTCTTCAGCTAGAATAATCGCTTGCTATAAATAAGGATAGCATTGAGGAGAGAGAAGCCAGAGGTGAAGAAGCCAGGCAGGAGATTATTATAATAATCATCCAGGTGGGAAATATATTAGCAATGGAAATGACAAATGATGTTAGGAATGGAGACTCTGCATAGTCTGGCAAGGTTACAGTGCAAAAAGGTTGTTTGGAGCTACCATTACAGAGGAGGAGGCCCCTGAGCAGCAGTATTTTACTGCTTTCCTTACTGCCTCCTTTGTTATTGTACAAGTTTGAAAAACAAGCAAGCTATTTTAAGATTTGTTTAGTTAATAAATTTCCTGTGGATGTTGTATCTAATTAAGATATCAGATTTACAGCTATAAGATGAATTTTCAGCTATAATTTATTTTGGCATTTGAAACAACTTTGATACGTATTTTCCCTGACAGATATGGCAGTGTGGTGGCAAATTACTATTTGTCCCCTGTTCTCGTGTGGGACATATCTACCGGCTTGAGGGCTGGCAAGGGAATCCTCCACCCATTTATGTTGGGTCTTCTCCAACTCTGAAGGTAAGTCTTTTGGTTGGAGGTGAAGAAGGCTAGGGAACTAACATTTATGTACCACATGCTGTGGTAGTCAAGATAAATGTCGATGTCAGCCTACTGAATGGGGAAAATCTCTTAAACGATCACAAAGGTCCTCATGTTTACTTAGGCTAGACTTATTCATGAAGCATTTTATTGTTCTTTGAGATTATTCATTGTATCCCATTCAGATTAAGGTGTCTATATTGAATGTTCTCCATGAAAACATCACAGATAAATTCAAAAAGCACTGACACTGTGTATCATAGTAGTGGACAGGAAAATACCAGCTTCTATTAGTCACAAATAAGTAAAATATTATTTTTTTTATTTATTTGTTTTTAGGGAGGGGAAGCAAGGGAGAATGAGAGGGAGAGAACTATGTGTGTGTTTGCCTCTTGAGCGCCCCCTACTGGGGACCTTGCCCACAACTCAGGCATGTGCCCTGACTGGGAACTGAACCAGCTACAGTTAGGCCAGCGCTCAGTCCACTGAGCCACACCAGTCAGGGCTAACATATTATTTTTTAACATATATATTTATTTTAAATACAACAAAATGACAAATGGCATATCCTGCAAGGCTTAATTTCACAGTGTCATGTACTACAGACATCTCCCCTAAATGTACTGTGATGGATGGTGGGAGGGTCTTTCGGTTTAAGAAATTAATCATATTGAGTTTTTGTAGAAAACAAAAGCAAATTTTGAAGTGCTTGCAAAAGAGTCATGTCTTTTGTCCCTCAGCCTGGGGGCAAACCAGGGAACCTTCATACAGAAGCCAGGTGTCCCATTGCTAGGAGGCTGCCGGCCCCTTGTCCTTGACAGCACACCTTTGAAGTGCCTTTGCAGGGGCTGCTGTCCTAAGTTCTAAGAGCCTCTAACTGTGGTGCCTTTCATTTTCTGGAGTCCTTAACCAAGGGCAGAAGGAAGATTATTGGCTACAGGTGCAACTTGGGATAGTTCCCAAAAGGGGAATAGGTAATGGAGACAGAAATAGCTAGGCTTTAAGAACAAACACAGATCTTTTTAACTGGCCAAATTATCTTAGAAATGGTGAAGCAGAGCCCCAGCCACAGCAGGGGGTAGGTTCAAATATCCACGCTGAAATAAAGATGCACCAAACCAACACCAGGCCTGACTGCCACTGCAGGAAAAGACCCTGACCTTTGAGTAGGATCCACAATCGTGAAGAGCTGATGAAAAGTCTGAATCAAGCAGGTCTGTGCTGCAAGGAAAAAGAAAAAGAGGAGAAGGAAATACTTACCCACTCTAAAAATTAAATACAGCTCTCATAAGAACTACCCAGTAAATGTCATGTTCAGCATACTCTTAGCGAGTGCTTCAAATGTGCCAGCACTTTTCTCCAACTTTAGCACCATGCACTTCAACCGCCAGGTGCCAATGGCCTATGTTGACTTCTCCAGCCTCTTTGTCTCTGAGTTCCGGATCCTAATCAATTGTCTTCTAAAAGTATCCTCCTGGATATTTCAATCTCGGTGTAGGCAAACTTTAAAACTTTTCCTCAAAAGTGACTCCTTTCCCTGTATCCTGTTCGTCCATGAATGAAACTTAGCGGGGGCATGTTAGGGTTGTCTGCCTCACCTCTCACCCTCCCAAGCCCTGACGGATCTACCTCATCATACATAGCTCTTAAATCCGTTCCTAACGAGCTCAGTTCAGGTCTTCAGATCTCTCCCATGGATATGCCCCAGCCTCCCACGCGGCTGCACCGTCAGCTTCCATGTCCTTCGTCCACCCTCCACTCACCACCAGTGTCACTCCCTTCAGTTAAATCGGGTGTCTGTTACCTGCTTAAGATCTTTTCATGCTTCTCGTATAAAATAACAATAATATTAATAATCACTAACCCTTTCCGATTGCCTACTAGGTACCAGACACAGATCTAAATGCTTTCCATAAGTTTTTTTAATTTTCACAACACCCCATAAGATAAAGACTATGATTATTCCCATATCAAAATGAGGAAAGTGAGGCAAGTTTTCTCTCGGAACCCTGTGTTCCACTTCAGGTAAACTACTTGGAGGAGTCCAAATGCACTGTGATTTGTCACACTTCATTGGCATTTCTGCTTGCCCTCCATACAGTTCTCACCTAATTAACCGCTCTTTCCAGACTGAACCACCCAGCATCCCTCCATGGTGCCCCTCTGGCCCTCTGGACCCCGAACAAATGTCCCTTCTTTTTGTTGCTATAACCCTATACACGTATACTTAATTCTTCACATTCATTAGTATCTAGAAGACATGGACTGTGTCTAATTTGGGGTGGATTTGCAAGGGTTCAAAATACTTAGCTATAATATCTCATGTTCTTTTAGGATATCGCTACTTAAAAATTTTGTTGAAGCCACTGTCTTTTGCAAGAGCATGTTCACCCTTTGATAGTGATCTTGGAGTCTAGAAAAAAATGTAATAGGAATGCTAGGTTTTCCAACACCCGATATGAAATGGGCCTGCTGTTATAACCGATGAGTAAGATCCAGCCCTTTTTAGAAAATCAAGTTGTATTGGAGCACAGCCGTCACCTATTTGTTTATACATTGCCTGTAGCTACTTTTTCAGCCAAGTTGAGTAGTTGTCACAGAAAGTGTATGCCCACTAAGGCAAAAATACTTAAACTCTGGCCCTTTATCCACAAAGTTTGCTTATGCGTGATAGAAAAGACCAAGGGACTAGATTGAGGTCATACTGAATCTGTCACATATATTTGTGCCTACATGCAGCATTCAGTAAAATCTTAGAAGTTAAATCTTTGTCAATTATCACAATGTCAATTGATTTGCACCAACTGCGGAAAATATCCAGTTGATTCTGGATTATAGTAAAATGGTCCTATTTTAGTTGTAAGAAGATCAACAAAGCCACATACAACAATGTGTTTTATTAAACAGAGTTGTTTTTCATGATGGTTTCTGAAATGGGATTTTTCTCTACATATGCTAGTAGTTATGGAGATAATTCTGGGATGAGTACCAATGTCTAGTCAACCTCTCATAAACCCTCTGTAGGTATCAGTTTCTACCTTTAGAAGCAGGACAGAATATATTCTCTTAGATCAGATATGCTCTTGCAGCCAAGAGCCTGTGTCCATCACTTTTTAGTTGAACATGCACGATGATTTTATCCTTGGCAGTTGATGCATTAGAGTCACTAGCTCAGTTGCATTTGTTGTTTAATCAAATAGTAGGTTTTATTGAAATAAGTTTGTTCTATGTTGGTCATATTTCTTATGTCTAAGCTAAGATGTTTATGATGTTACAATATTTTACTTGTCACATGGTATTAATTTTCTTTTTTACAGAATTATGTTAGAGTTGTAGAGGTTTGGTGGGATGAGTATAAAGACTACTTCTATGCTAGTCGTCCTGAATCAAAGGCATTAGCATATGGGGATATTTCTGAGCTGAAAAAATTTCGAGAAGATCACAACTGCAAGAGTTTCAAGTGGTTCATGGAAGAAATCGCTTATGACATCACCTCACACTACCCTCTGCCACCCAAAAATGTTGACTGGGGAGAAGTAAGTATCAGTGATATTCAGATCTCAAAAGGTGTGTGTCTGGAGACTGGGAGAAGGCAGAGTGATATGAAAATGTCTGAAAGAGAAGAATTCTTGGGGGAAAGTTTGAGTAAAAACTGTCTGGTAACTTCCCCCTCCTTTCCACCAGGCAGTTACAACCACCCTGCCTATCTGACCATGTGTCCCCTCCTCTCAGCCCTTGCACATGGGCCTTTCTAGTCGGGGAGGAACACTGTCCACTCTCGCCAGCTTCTACTGCTTCTCTGCCTCTCAGTCTGACTCGCTTTCTTGGCTAATTCCAACTTATCCTACTGCTCTCAAGGTACAGATCGCCAGTACTGCAAAGCCTTTCTTACTCTTTCCCATTCCATCAAAAAGATTCAGCCCTGTGATTTTTCCATGAGTTTTCATAGCACAACATTGCCCCTCTCTCAGCCAATCTGTAAGTGCTTGTTCACCATTGTGTCGCAATGCAGAGAGCTAATGCTGAGACCCCGTATACAGTAGGCACTCAGACAATGCTTACCAATTGAATGGATCAATGAGTGGTAACTGAAAATAATTTAAATCAAAGGCATTGATTTGTGCTGTCCCTTCTTGGTTTCTTCAAACTTGCCTTTGTGTGGGTGTATTTCTTATCCACCCGCCCTTGCAGATGCTACCTCATAACTGTATAAAATATGCTATGAAATTTCAAGTCTACATGCTTTTGTTTAATTATGTGTCCAACAAATATTGGTTGAGGGCCTACTGTGTGCCACTCTTCTAGACAGAAAACAAGACAAACGAGGTCCTTTTCCTCAGGGAACTTCTTGCATGCTAGTGGATGAGAGGCCAAAAAAACAGGGAAAACAAAGAAGATAATGATAAAGGTGGTAAGGGCTATAAAGGAAATAAGCAGGTGTTGTTCAAGAGGACATAGGGACAGGGTAGGGGAGGCTTCTCTAAGGAGGTGACACTTAATCTGAGATCTGACTAATGGAGAGCCCGGACATCAGAGAGCTAGGAACATGTTCCAGGTAAAGAAAATGGTGAATTTGAAGGCTCTGGGTCAGGAAATGCTTCGCATGTTTGATAAGCAGAAAAGAGCAGATTAAATCAGGTGAAGGGGCAGGCATGTGAGGAGGGAGGCCTGCAATTACCTAAGTGTGGTGGAAAGTCACTCAAGGGTTTTAAACAGAAGGGTTGCTTTGGGTAGGGGGTAGCAAGTTCCCCAATGGTGTGCTGGGCTTGTGAACGGCCCAGGCAGAGCTGTCAGGTAGACAGATGTCAAGCTGTGGTGCTGATGATACTGACACCCAGGACACAGGCCAAATATACTATGTCTAAGGATGTGTGTTTGGAGCCATCAGCAGGCGGATTATTTCGTGGGTCTGAATGAGAAAAATACAGATAGAAAAAAGAAGACAGGATCCATTCCGAAGTTGCCCCAACATCTCAAGTTTGGGAATAGAAGCCAACAAAGGACACTATGCTACTCTCTCTGCACCTCGTTTTAGTGCCTTTTTTCCTGTACACTTATTTCACCTCTGTGTGCTGTGACAGCAAATTGTATTTAAGTCCCAACTAGACCATGGACCAGGCCCCATTTTGTTTATCTTTTAATCTCTGAGAACACCTAATTAGTATAGTTGCCTTCTATGTAAAAGGCAGGAGTTCTCTGTGATCTTGTCCAGGCTCATGGCTTAGAACCGTCTATGCATGCATGACTCCAGTTTCTACCTTCAACCTAACTCTCTCCCCTAGAGCTCAGACAAGTATATCCAGCTGCCTACTTGGCATCTCCACTTGAATGTCTAATAGACATTTCAAACTCACCATACCCAGCACCGACCTTCCTGTCTCCTCTCCCCAGCCTGTCTTTGCTGATTGCTCAGGCTGAAGCTTTGCACTCGTTTTGGAATCCTTTCCTTCTCTCTCACTTTACTTTTAGATCCAGACCCCAACCCTTTCTTACTCTCATCTAAGCCATCAGCAGGTGGATCTCACTGAGGCTAACTCAGTGAGCAGTCAGACTGACCTTTCCCAAATGAGCCTGTTACTCTGTAAGATGCCTGCAGTGACACCCCTTTCCTGTGGAGGAAAGGCAAAGTCCTTTCTAGTGCCCTCTCAGGCCTCTCCTACCACTACTCTCCTTACCCACTCCAGCCCCACTGGCCTGCTCACTTACTGCAGGAAGCCCTTGCTGTCCCCCCTGCCTGGAATATTTTCCCTCTGCTTGCGTGGCTGACTCATACATATGCCTCAAGTCTGCTCAAATGTCCCCTTCTCACTGAGATCCACCCTGCTCCCCCCACAAACACTCCCAGCCACGCAGCCCCTTAACTTGCTTTTTTTCTTTTCTGTTTCATGGCATCTATCACCTTCTGCCTAACATGCCTATTATGGCTTTGCCTCCTATTCCGTCTTTCCTTCCCTAGAATGTAAGCTCACTGGGGCAAGGAGCTTTATTTTGTTCACAGATGGATCAGAGCCTACAACACACCTGACAGTACTCCCTTAATATTAGATGAATAAATAAATGCAGAAGCAGATAAGTAGATGGAATTTTCTGTCCTCCCTTGACAATCTTGCTCCGAATACATCGTCAGTTTAACCACTTCCCATTCTGGCCCCAGAACCTTATGCTTCCCTTCTCTGTCCTCCCTGCAGATTCCAGGGTAAACCCTCCCCAGCTGCTTCAGGGTTCCTGGCGGGGGGTGGGGGGGTGAGGGGGGCGTGCGGGAGAGCCTCCTTCCTCAGCACATTCTTCCCTGCGTCCTGACTGCTGCTTACTCCTCAGCCTCCCTACAGACCTGAGGACCATGACTTGCTTCTCTTTGTGTCTTCTAAAGCTCTTATATTGTCCCAGGTGCTCAGTCTGTATATACTGAATGAATGAATAAACATTTTATCCAAATACTATAGTAATTTATAATTGAGATATATAATATTTCCAAAAAGGAAAAAGGTTATTTTTATATAAAATGTGCATTTCTAAGATGGAAATCTGTATTGGCTTTTCACCTACGTTGTCTGCTTGCTGTCACTTGGTCCCCCTAGGTTCCTGGAGACAGTTACTAAAAGTGCCACATAGCCATTTGGGAAAGTTACCTTACAAATTCAGTTTTGGTCTAGATATCTAGGGCCAGTGTCTGTGACCGCTGTGTTTAGATAACTCTATTTGCTTCTCGCTCACATGAATTATCATGAATCTGAGGTTGTACTTAATAGCATCTTTTAACTTTTTTTCTTCTGTGGTATTTTATCCAAATCTGTAGTCCGATGCCCTTTGTTGTAATGAGCCCATTCCAATATTGACTTAAAGGCCATACGGTATTTCAAAGATGACTACTATGCTCTAAACTACTTCAAGATGAATAATAAAATAATAACCTGGCATTGCACATGCCCAGATTTCCACTATGAACTGTAATATTTAACGTGAAACGCTTTTATGTTAGGGCTTAATAAAAACTAAACAGTTGCCTGCCTTTTGGTTCTCGGTTCATTTTTTTAGATCAGAGGCTTTGAAACTGTGTACTGCATCGATAGCATGGGAAGGACAAACGGAGGCTTTGTGGAACTAGGGCCCTGCCACCGGATGGGAGGGAATCAGGTAAATAACCTCCTTTCATACTGAAATCGCTTCTTCCCTAAGATCTGCCGGGCTTATTGATCAGGGGGCTTCTTTTGCTTTTAAATTTGGTGATTGTGTTTGTTTGGAAAAGTAATAAACTAAAACATTCTGTGAAAAAACAGACAATGCTAAATCTTTTTGTTAAATGAGGGTATAATAGCAGTATTGCTTTTCACATAAGCAATCAGAACCTGGAATTTATCTCTAATATAAGAAATCAGACTAGGATCTTGTGTGAAACTTTAACTATGTAAGCCTAGCTCCCTAACAATTTTATTTTCAAATATTATTCATTATTCCACATTTCCTCTGAAAAAGCTGGAATGTTACTGCCAGTAATGTATATTTTACTATTATATCTTCCTAATTTATGTATTTTCCTTGCTCTTAATTTAGATTGTGAAACATCTGGTCTGTTTTCACTTTTTTATTTTCTCACATTGTTGGTACATGATAAATATGTGTTAAGACCATTCTATATCTAAATGGCTGAAGAACATAATCCTTCAGGTGTTTGTAGGGAGTTTTGCCAACATCAGAATGAATATAATTCCTGTCTTTGAACTTATAGTTCTGAACATATCAAAAAATTATAGAAAAATAAGATAGTTGTTGAGTTGGTTTTTGTATATCAGTGGAGAGGGTGCATCTGTTATTTTTTTTGTTTTTTGTTTTTTAATAGCTTTTCCGAATCAACGAAGCTAATCAACTCATGCAGTATGACCAGTGTTTGACAAAGGGGCCTGATGGATCAAAAATTATGATTACACACTGCAATCTAAATGAATTTAAGGAATGGCAGTACTTCAAGGTATTCTGCATTTCAACTTATGAAATAATAAGTATATGCTATTTTATTTTAATAACACCTATCGTGTAGAATTTAGATGTATAAATCTTAAAACCAGCATTCAAATTGACTTTCGTTTCCCACTCATTCAGTCATTTTTATTCCAGAACACTAGTGACTCTTTTTGTCTTATAATAAAGCATCACTTCTATTCTCTGGTGCAGTATTGTCATGTAATGAGGTGACAAGATGTCCATGAAGACCCACTAATTGCAATAACTCAGGAAAATCAGTGTCCTGTGAGAATAAATAGATGTAACATGAGAAATATTGTGTTCATATTTCATGTTGTCCAGCAGGTGGAGGTAGAGACAGACAAATAACACTTGGAAAGCTAGGCCTTCACAACTTCCGTATTGCTACCCGCCAAACACAATAGTTAAACAAATGTTGACCGTTTCTTGCTTTGAAGTTTGTTTGGTTATTTAGCTGACACTCTGAGAGGGAACATATTTTTCTCTTGTAGCTGTGACTATTAAGTCCTATGCGAAATTGAGAATTCCAACATATTTAATGGCTTTATATATTTTATCATTTTCAAAGTCTAGACTTGGCTAAAATAAACTTATTTTAAAACATAAAATTGGGAACTCAAAGAACCTGGCAGCCCTCAACTTTATTTAGTCACTTAATGTTTTCGTCATACCCTATCTGTCATGCAAGCACTTGTTCGCTATGTAGGTATGTTATGATCTGGCTTAATATTCCCAGTCATCATCATTCATAGATAATTACTGTGAGGAAGTGAATATGTGTCAGTTGCTGATTTTATTTTTAATAACAAGTTGGGAAAAAGAAAATCAACATAAATCCTGAAGAACAGAACATTTATTTCCACAAAGAAATGAATAATACCAATACATGATAGAGGTCAGTGAGAACATTAACAAAGTACTAAAAGAAGGCTAAAAGACCAGAAACTACCATTGAAAAGTAGTAGATAAAAAAATGGAATGTATATATTTTAGATACTTTAAAGGGCACAGCACTGAATATACATTTGTGAATCAAACATTGCTTAATACACAGGGGTGGACAAAGGTATGTTTACAGTTGTGAATATGTGAAACATAGAGCTTATTCTTGTACTATTATTTGTCATCTTATTTTGTATCCTTAGTTATGATTTATCTTTTAGGTAATGATGGCTGGTAATTTAACCAATGACCAATGGAAGTGGGTACTTAAACCTACTTTTGCCCACCCCCTTACACTGGGGCCCAATGATGTAATGACTTTAGAAAATAGCTAAAGCACATCATACTGCAATATAAGGGGGAAAAATGCAGAAATAAAAAAAAGCACAATGCCATAGCACAGCAGAAGAGAGAGTAATAGGAGGAATTATTTCTGATGAGTTTTATATAGGAATTATCATTGAGGTATAAAAAGGCTTTTTATGGATGATAAATAAGAAAAATGGCTGAGCAAAGGCATGACACGAAAGTGTGTAGAAAAATTCTAGGAATCATGTTTAGTTTAGTATCCCTAATGTCCTCCATGTGAAAGAACATTGCACTTCATTTTGTAAGTTTTGGAGAAGAGTTGACATTATTTGAGGAATGCAGTGATAGGAGACAATGGACACTTTTGGGAAAATAATTCTGAAAACATTGTGAAGTATGAACTCTTAAGCTTCATCAGGAGTTCTCAAATGCTCCAGTCTCTGGATTCCATGTATACTCGTAAAAATTTATTGAGACTGTCCTCACACGGATATTTTTTAATGTAGATTATAGTTAACAGTATATCCTAAACTGGAAATTAAGTCTGAGAAATTTTACAAGTATTTATGTATGTATTTACAGTTTATGTAAAACATACTATCTCTATTGTGTATTAATATAAATAACACTTTCCATGGATAATTATTTTTCTAAAAATAGTGAGAAGAATGACATTGTTTTATACTTTTGCAAATCCATTTAATGTCTGGCTTAATAGAAGGCAGCTGAATTCTCATAATGCTTCTGCGTTCAATTTGTATGATGTTGTTATAGTTGAAGTATACAAGGAAAATCCAGCCTCACATATACATGCAGTTGGAAAAGAAATGAGTAAATTATTAGCCTTTCAGATCATTGTGGCCATACCTTGATGCTACACAAGTCAATAAGTGATAGTTTCTTAAAAGTTATTTGCAGTGCAGAATCTGAAACCACGTAAGTGGACATTCTGTTCTTTGCTGGACTAAAATCCATTGGTCTGTCTTACACTTTGAATGGATCTTTTACCCACATCAGCTTTTGTAATATCGTGCATTGTTCATTTGAAAAATTGGTTCACTAACTATGATCTTCCAAATGTTGGCACATTTCATTGTACAATATGAAAAAATATAAGGAAGCTATCAAGTTATGGTAATAGATGCAAGTCTTCAAAAATTCTTAATTTTTGCTTGAAAACTCAAATTGTATCAGTGGCAACAAATACTGTCATATTTGTGTATTTGTTTTTTGTGGGGGGTTTTTTTTTCTTTGAAGAGACAGGCTCACTTCATTTTTCAAAAAAAGTATCTACAAAGTCCCAAGTTTGAATAATCATGGTTTGTCTATGAGTTGACCTTTCAAGTCAAAACGGCATACCATGAAAAAAGCAGTTAGTTGAACTCTCAAGTCAAATAATTGCAGATGTGCTTTTTCCCTCAATATAACCATGGCACTTAACTATGCAGAAGTGTTTTATGCATATTTCCCATTTCATCTTATGAAATGTTTTAAGTATACTCAAGGGTCAAGATTTAATAAAACTAATAACTTCTACTGCTTCATCAAGGACATTCTTAACTGAAACTGACTTTTTTTTTTAACTATGCACATGTGGCTGTGAAGAATGTGACTACTAGCAGAGTTTTGTGTCACTGCTTAATTAATGCTGAGGTGCTAGCACTTTTACCCACCATTGCCTTTGCACCGTCAGTATAAATGTCAATTCAATGAAAAACACCAATGGGATCTTTGTATTATTATGAAAATAGTTTTCACCTTACAGACACAATTTTAGATAGTCTGGGTTACCACCATCTGAGAAGTGCTGAGCTATGTGAAGAAATCTACAACAGAAGATGAGGGCTAAACTAAGGCATGTGCACTGGGGGTGGGAAAGGAGGCATACCAGGGGCATTGCGAAAATCAAGTATCGCAAACAGCATGCCTCAGTGACTGCTCAGTAGGAAGGAGGGAGGGAGAGAAGGAAAGAGAGGAGGGAAAGTGCAACATGAATAACTCTGTCCTGAGGGCTGGAAAGCTGATGTTGTCACTGGTCAGAATAGGAACTAGAGAAATAGGTTTGGAGGGGAATATAATGAATTTCGATTTGTATACACTGTATTTGAGGTACCAGCAGTACATTGTGACTTGTAAGTCATATGTACTTGTATGAACAATAAAAACACTTACAAGTCTGACTGACCATTGAGAAACCTGAAGTCGGATGTGTGTTTGGTTAGTTGAAGTCTGTCCATTTTGCTTAAATTATCACCTTTCTTTTAATTTACTTTATTTTTCAAATACAGTTGTCATTCAATATTATATTAGTTTCAGTTGTACAGCATAGTGGTTAGACACTTAGATAACTTACAAAGTGATCCGCTTAATAAGTCTAGTACCCACCTTACATGGTACATAGTTATTATAGTTATTACCATATCATTAACCCTATTTCCTAGGCTATACTTGATATTCCCATGACTATTTTGTAACAGAACAGAATAGAGAGCCCAGAAATATGCCCATGCCAGTTTGGGTAATTAATCTATGGCAGAGGAAACAATATACAATAAAGACAGTCTCTTCAGTAAATGGTGTTGGGAAAACTGGACAGACACATGAGGGGAAAAAAAATGAAACTAGTTCACTTTCTTACACCATATATAAGAATAAACTTAAAACAGATTAAAAACTTAAATGTAAGACTTGAAACCATAAAACTCCCAGAAGAAAACATTGGCAGTAAACTCTCTGGCATGCTTTTAGTAATATTTTTTGGCTATGTCTCCTCAGGCAAGGGAAACAAAAGAAAAAATAAACAAATGGGACTATATCCCATTAATTAAACTAAAAAGTTTTTGCACAGCAAAGTAAACCATCAACAAAACAAAAAGACAACCTACTGATCTGAATTAACTTCGTATGATAGCCAAATAATGACCTCTTCTAATCTCAGTGACATCAAAAGAGTACAAATTTAAAAGTTCTTTTTCCTGTATTTTCCAGAGCCTGCACAGATTTACTTATATTCCTTCAGGAAAGTGCTTAGACCGCTCCGATGTCCTACATCAAGTGTTCCTCTCCAATTGTGACTCCAGTAAAATGACTCAAAAGTGGGAAATGAATAACATCCATAGTGTTTAGAAAGAGTTAAAGAAACCAGAAACCTACCTACTGACACGTAAATTATCACAGGACTGAAAACCGCCTGAAACCTGCTGCAATGATTATTAACTCTGTACAGCTCCAAACCCGGAACCTCCTGATCAGTTCGAAGAACATTGATAAACTGTGATTTTACAATAACATTATCATCTGCAGTTACTGTTTACAAAACTGCTTTTACCTTAAACTTTGTAGATGTTTACATCTTTTTTTGTTTTGTTTTAAGATGATGTTGGTCATTTGTGCATTTAGCTCTGTTTAGAACAGAGTTGAAAGCATTGTTGTCTTCTTTGGGATTACACTCAGGGGTCTGAAAGGCAGTTTGATTTTTTTTTTTTTTTTAACACACTTGAAAAAAGGTTGGAGTAACCAGACTTTCACATGTAACTTGGTGATGATCAACCTGTTTGTTGTCTTTATTTAATTTTACATCGTTTTGAAGCACTGCCACAGGTTATTAGCCAGGGTGGCCTTCCTTCACAGTCATGCTGCTTTTTTGAAAGGTGAATTTCAACACATTTAGTGCCTCTTTCATTTCTCAGTATATATTTCAAGAGCTTTTGATGAAATTTATAGGATGGTAATAATGGAATTGTCACCGATATGAGGAATACTTTTACTACTCAGAAATGAATTTCTGTGCTGCCATTTGCTCTGAAATCACATGTTGTGTGGCTTGGAAAAAAAATGACAATATGAAACATCCCAGGCTCTTCCATAGGGATTGGAGATTGTATGGCATTAAGTCCCTTACTTGCTGGTATTCCCAGTGCCCTCTGTTGATACCAACTCCTAAGAGAGTAAGGGGGTCTACCAACCAGAGAAAAATTGTCCGCAGACATTTGGGTTTTACTCTTCCCCAATATTTGTCATTATAGAAAACTATAAATAATTCTCAGTTTGAAATCTTGAAATGGGAGTAACAAAAACAACAAAACACCGCTGTAAACAAACATGTCAAAGGTTCATTCTGACTGAGGTAAGAATTTCCAAGCCCTTGTTAGATTAAGCCTTACAAATGTCCTGTGTATTATAATAACCTAAGCTGTGCAACCTTTCAAGCCAAGACTGAACGGATGTTTCATCTATATCTTCATCCAAATGAAATTCCCTGCACATTTTTAAAATTAAAAAAAAAAACTATTTAAAAGTACAATTCATTAACAAATACAAACTCCTTTCTGTTAGGTGTTAGTTCCCTAGTGTTTCTTAATTTTTTTTAGGAAGCATATTCCTATTAGTATTTTTCCAGTGAAAAGACGACTTGTTTGGATTTAAACATTTATCGAGACAGTACACGAAAACCAAATACTGCAAATGGTCAATTAGATTTTAATATCTAAATAAATAGTCTTATTGCTCAAAATATTAAAATGTTGAGTTGGGGAAAGAAATAACATGAGGTGGGAAATGGCAAGTAAATTAAGCATTTTTGATCCTGTAATCATGATTATCATTACAATGAAAAGAATTCACAAACTACTGCCAGAGGAAAATATTTTTAATTAAATCTTAAAAAAGAAAAGGGAAAAAAATTACATTTGTTTAAAAGAAAAGCCTACAAATTTGTTTCTTCAAGCTTAGTCCTTAAATCTGGAGAGTCAGTTAAACATCCTAAACAGAGTATTATTTATAATTTTGAATTGTCGATTTGTATTTTGCTACTGATCTATGATCAATCATTTTAACTTTTCATTCACCTCAAGGGATGTTTTAAAAGGAAGACATTTATATGCTTATTTAATTGCAAAATAAATCAACTATAAAAAAAGAAAGCAAGAGAATTGGTACTTTAATTTCTTGTGTTTGCAAGTAGGTTCCATTTTTCCTGTTGAATAGATTATAACCTTGTTAACTATGCATAGGCCTAAAAAAGGTGGCACATAAAATGTGCGTGTAAATTTTAAATGGGTATTTTGTGCAATTCATTAAGATACTCTTTGAAAGTGATTCTCTCTATTTAAATCAGGAACCTTACCAAACAAAAATACATCAGAAACTGCTGCCATAATGACTATTTTCTACTGTAGGCTGCTTTGGAAATAATTCCCATATCCTTGCTTTGTAAGTTGATAATATCACTATGCATTTCTACACATTTTATAAATTTGATTTGTGCAGATTTTGATACACTGTATGTTTCTGTAGAAATTGTATAAATATTCAAAATTTTATTAGGGATAAATTTGAGAAGTTTATGTATATCTTAATTCTGGGTTGCTTGTTTTTTAGGTGAGAAAAAATAAAATACTGTATTTTAATTCATGAGGTTTTTTTAGTACTTGTAATCATTTCTAAATCTAAACACTGTACATTTGAAATAATAAGTTGATTTTATTATTCATGAGATAAACTAACATAACTAAAATATCATAAACCATAGTTAAATGTTGAGTATATGCTTGAGTGTTGGTTAGAATTCTACTTACAGTGTGCTTAGAATACTCAAGAGTTTACCTGTCTGGTTTATATAGCAATTTTTAATTAAATAGCAATTTTTTTAAACATCACCCAATTTTAAAAACCTCACCAACATAAATGTATCTTTCTTGACAGTGTATTCTACAATATAATTACCTATTGAAAGCAAACATTTCTTTTAAGTCAAAATTCTTTTAAAACCAAATGAATAGAAAGAACGGAAGCCTATCAAAATGAAGTTACAAACAGGCCATAGGAACTTGTGGCACAACACAGGGCATCTCAAGAAGATATGGCAACTAACATCCAAGTAAGTGACTGTGTTGATTTGGGCAACTTATTCTAAACTGACTTAGCTACTGTTGTGTCTTCCACTTCTCAGCTGCTTTGCCTAAGAAATATGAAAAAGTGGCATAGCTCCAATCTGGAGTAAATGGGGACTCATGTATTTCTTAAGATAGTCTCTCACAGGAATCTTGGAATAAATTTCCTTTATAGACAATGTAATTGGGGGGAAAAATCCACAGATAATTCAGTGGGAAATATGACAAGTCCCTGACGTGAGCCAGATATCTAGTAAGCCAGTAGTTTGGGTATGTGAAAATTAATCCATATAAAAGCACTTTTAGAAAGTAGTGAACATTGTGAAAATACATTATCATTCACTAGAATCAATCTGTTGCAAGAAAGTGGACAAAAGTCAGAATGATTTGGTGGAATCACTATCACTGGGATTAGAGATTAAAGGAGGGACTGTCTCTAAATTCAATAATTGCTTTGTATTTCTCATTTTTAAAATTTTGAAATGTCCATAATTGAGATTGTTGAGTGTCAGTTTTCTAAATGAATCAGGCCTAGCACCCACATCTGAGCAGAGGTGGGATGAAGGATTCTGTAATTTTCAAAATAGAATTATGTTATAACCTGGTCATCTGAATAGTAGTATAATATGGTGGACTTGTCTGTATAGGAATCCTTGTTCCACTAGCAAATTACTTGTCTGACTTTGGATAAGTTATTTAACCTATATGCCTCAGTTTTCTCTTTTGTAAAATGGGGGTAATAATAGTGTTTATTTCATAGGATTGTTACTAGGATTGAATCAGTTAACATACATAAAATGCTTAGTGTGGGTCTTGCCTATAGTTAGGGTAATATAAGTGTTAGCTACTATCTGTCAATAATCAGATTTAAGACAGCTACACTGCAAATCTTCTATAACAGCTATGTGTGTGTGTGTGCCTGTGCTTCGTATGTGAGCTATCATTACCCCCACTTTACAAGTGAAGAAATGAAGTTCAGCAGTTAAACATCCCCTTCTTATTTGGGGGTAAAGTGATTATCCATAAGGGAATAAACTGTTACCTACTTCATCCCATTCATATAGCATGTGTAGAATGTAGTTTTCAGTGGACCAGTTTAACCCTTGGATAGAACTAAGTGCATCCTGAAGAATGTATTCTTTAAATTACGAAATTTGTCGTGGACTTCTGATATGAGCAAATTAAACTCTAGCTGTATTAATGATTAAATGCACAAAACTAAAACTTTCAGTACAAAATTGAGATGAATAGACTTCCTTGTCTGCCCATACATAACATAGTAATTAGTATTGGACTTATCCTCCTGTCCTAAACAGCTAAAAAGCTGGACAAAATATATGGAGCAGCTATTTTCAGTTGTATAATAGGCAAAGCAGGGTGAGAGAGTTGAGAAAAAGGAAGCACACAAGGTGAACCCCAGGTTTACTATGTCTGTCTGCCAAACATGGCACAAGAAAGTGGAGTTTAAACGGTGGTGATGCTGCTGAGGAGGCAGAGTGGAAGTTTGGGGCTGCTGAAACAGCGGGAACTTACAAGGCAGATTACTGGGAGCGGCGTGCACTTGAATACCAGGAAACCTGCACAGGAATTTTCACAGCACTGCCACTTACAATATCAAAAGCTACTGGAACAACCTAGATACCCATCAACAGGAGAAGGGATAAATTGTGGTATAATCATACAATGGACTGTTATACTGCAATGAACATGAATGAATTAGTTATAAAGTCAGTAGGATACTCTTGAGGGACAAAGGCAATTCTCAAAAGACTATTCAGGAAACACTTTCTTTAAAATCAAAAGCAACTAAAATTAAACAGTCATACATTTGTATGTGATAGGTTAAATGATTTGTCCAAGTTCACAAATTTAGTATTGAAGTGAAGGTCACATACAATTCCAATACACAATATCCTCAGAACCCTGTGGGAGGAATTTCTATGCATTTTCCATGTAACTGTAGTTTTCCTCCCCACCTTGACTGTCAATTTCAGAATTGAATATGATATTTTTATCATAGAAACTATTAATCCATATATAGTTATGTATGCTTTTTACTATATTGGTATGTACACTTTTAACTTTTATTGGGTATTTACCATTTCTGGCCACCAGGATAAGTGTCTTAAATGCATTGCCTTATTTAATCCTCAAAAAAAAAAAAAAAAATTCTTTTACATATGAGGAAACTGAATGGCTACATGACTTATCTGATGTTACTAACCAGAAAGAAACAGCCCAACTCTGACCTGATTCCCAGGTAAAAGCTTTCATCACCTTACTCTTAATTTCCCCCATAACCTTGTTTTTCCTTTTGTATGTTTGTATTTTAATTTGTTCTATGTATAAGCTGTCTCCTCTTTATTGGGAAAATGTGGAGAATCAAAAAACTAGCACATA